TCTTTTGTACGTATTATAGAAGGAATTTCGTCTGATTGGTTAAATTTTGTAGGTCGACCCGTGATTTCCCGTGATGATTAACCAATCAAATTACATAATTTTTAAAAAATTGGTTAAATAATGACAACAAAACCAAAGAAATTTACCAATAATAAATACACGCAAAAGAATTAATCATATATTTAGAGAATAGATAGATACACGTAAAGTGAGGCAAATGTAAAATTTTTATTATTAATAGACCCGGTCGTAAATTAATCACCTCAATATAAACCAATTATTTTTGATGTAAGTTATGACCTAGTTACGATCTATTACCTCTAATTTCTCTATAATGTTAAAAGCACATTAAAACGAATACCTTTGTTGATTTACGAATTATTAACTTTAGAGTGTTTAAAAACTTATTTATTATAATATCGAAAAGAGTCATCATTAGTTACATTATCAAATGTCTGTCCACACGCGTGTACTTTAGTGTAACAAAAAACTCAGTAACACGTTTTTATCATTACATTATACGTATGTATAACAATCATATAATCATTTTATGATAGGTTCCAACTGGGAGCGGGTCAAAATCCCGACAGGCAAAAATCCCGACAATTGAAAATTCTAATACTACTGTACTAATTTCATATTATGCTCATACAACCAAAATGTGTGTCAACTCATATTTTTTTTTGATTAAGTTAGGGTAAGGGTTAGTTTTGGGTTAAGATTAGGGCATGATTTATAGTAAAATTGCCCTCCTGACACTTTTTATTACTGTAATGCCAATTTAGATTTTTGACTGTCGGGATTTTAATTGTCGGGATTTTTTTGTCGGATTTTAACCCAAACCCGTTCCAACTACCGAATGGATATAAATTATAAACTTGTGTCACAAATATAGCATCGATAGTAGGGTGGTTGGCAAGCTGCTTTTTTTTTTTTTTTTTAGTTCGCCAAATAGTGGCGACTAAAAAAAGCTCGTCTCGCCAGCTTGCCAACCAACCTAATCGATAATTAACAAAAGATAGGATATGCGTGGATTTAGAGAACGGTACTATTGTTGATTTTATTTTAAGGTTGTAGATTAAGCATAATTTACATTACAAATGATATTATGGTGTAAAAGGTAATATTTCTATTTTAATCGTTGTTTAAATTATTCTACAAAAGAACCAAGAAAGTATCGTTTATACTTTTCTTTATTTGTTGGTTCGAAATTGTCCCCGATAGTTTGTAACCAAAGGCTCAGCCGAACTGTGAAACCTCAACCATTGTCTTTGTAATACAATCTACTATGTTATCTGTACGGTGCGTGAAAATTTCCCTTTCGCAATATGTATAGCATATTGTAAAATGTCGGAGATTTAATTAAAACAATTTCTTGCTCGACTTTTCCATCAGTCGGAAAATTTACGTTGGACAAATTTCATTGATCATATCTGAACCTTCGATTAAAAAAAAAATATATCGCGCAGGTTACATTATTCGGAAATTTAGTGCATTAAGTGCATTAATCAAGATTATTACATACATATTTTAATAATGCACATACATATGTATATTTTTAACGTTAAATTTTATTAATACGTAACCTCAAATTTTACATAACCCGGCTGGGTTATGAGTTAATAAATTTTATATTGCCTAACACTTATGATAATATTTAATAATGACGATAATAATGATAATGATGATAATAATGATGATAATGATGATAATGATAATAATGATAATGCTAATAATAATAATGATAATAATAATGATAGTAATAAAATAATGATAGAATTAATTAATTTTTTCTAGTCTTAATAAAAATGTTTATATCTTTAGGTCGTCTTATGGTATGAAAAGAATATTTAGGTTTATCATTTTTATCATTCGATTCTATATCAAATGTACAAACAAGTTTAATAAAAAATGTTTTCATTTGAATCATAGCCCACATTCGACCAGGACAAATGCGAAAACCACTCCCAAAAGGCATATAAGTATATTTAACAATTGATTCTTTATCATTTAAGAATCTATCAGGGTTAAAAATTTCTGGATCTTTAAAGTATTTAGGATTATGACTTAACGCACTAAAATCTGTATAAACTGTTGTATCTGCTTTAATTGTAAATCCATCAAATTCAACATCTTCGGTTGCGGCACGAGGCATCCAAGATACTGAAGGGAAAATGCGAATACCTTCATTGATTACGGCTTCTATATACTTGAGTTTTCCATACGATTCCAATGTAAGTTCTGGATTGTCAAGTGTACCATAAACATCCAATACTTCTTGTCTCATTTTCAAGTAAACATCTCGATTTTTTGCAAGGTAAAAAATAATATATGATAAAGAGTTGGATGTAGTATCTAATCCACCAGTAAATACTTCACGTAATATTGATATTACTTCATCATTTGTTAAAGGTCGGTCAAATTTACTGACTGAAATTTTGTCCAAATCTCTTTCCGTATTTGTTGTAAGTAATAAAGTTAAAATATTTGGCTCAAGTGGTTGATCCAAAGGTGTATTTTCAATTTCTTTTTGTCTTTCGGAAACGATCCTATCCATTTCTTGATATATCCAATCTCTATTATCCAAATACTTTTTATTTACATCTTTAATAAAAGGGACATTTCTTCGAAACTTTGTTGGAAATAACATCATAAATGACATTGATTCATTATAAAGATGAATTGCTTTAGTAAATTTTACGCCATTTTGCCAAGCTCCTTGTACTTTAGATTTATTATTTTCAATTTTCAATTCATTAAATAATTCAGTCATTGCTGTTATTCTTTTTCCAGTTGCAGTTGTCGAAACAATTTCTGCTCCCAAAGCATCTATCCACTGGGAAACTTCGATTGGCATTCCTTTTTTTTCAATAACTTTCCAAAATTCAAACATTTGATCAATCATGTTACTTGTTATATTGATTGATTCACGTAGAAATGGAGGTGAAGAAATAACCCTCATAAATTTTCTATTGACAGCCCAAACATCAATATCACGATTGAGTACCATTCCTTTTGTACCTAAACCAAGTTCAACAATACCTTCAGAATATGCATTACGCATAACAAAGGTTGCATTTTTGAGAGACAAAGCTCCCCACACTTTTTCAGCTAAATCAGGTTTGCTAATAACAACTGCGCGTGTACTTCCTATATAAAATTCGTATAAATCACCATATTTTTTATGAAATGTTTCTATCGCTGCTGGCAAATCTTCTCCACATTGATGTAGATTTCCAATAATTGGTAAAGGTAATGGACCAGGAATTTTTGACGGTCGATTGAAATAATTAAAGTAATATTGGATTATACTAATAACGATAAATAAAAATACGATTGAGAAAAAATTACTTTTAATTATATCAATTAACTGATAAAATGTATTTGCGATCATTTTGAACAGAAAGGTAAATTCGAAGGATATTAAGTGTGAGAAGAATATAAAATTATCTTAAGTGATCAAACAAGAGTTTTATACCTGTTAGCAATTAAATAAGCTAACCATTTTACTATCAAAAATATTTTAAACATGTCTACATCATAATAAAAAGATTTACAGCATTTTTCTAGGATTAGAGTTAATCTCCGATTCGGTCTTCAAACTAACATTTATCGGATAGTCCGACAGTTGGTCCTGCTGTTTCTATTTCTAATCAGACATCAAATTGGCCTTGTATAACACTAATCGCCTATGATGCGCACAGTATAAAACTATACTTGTTGCAAACCTGGATAAATTTAAACCCGCCAAGAAAAATTGAATCAATAAAATTTTCTAAATACATATATTGTATATAATATGTACGTATTACTTTTTGTTTACGTAATATTATTAATAAAATCTTTGAGATATTGATCGGAATTTGAGCGTGATTAATACTATAAGTAGTTTTGAATTCTAAATTGCGAAAAAGATTTTTATAGACAAAAGATGAAATATTGACAAAAGCTATCAAACCATACAATTTTTTTTCTGTTAGAAAATTATAATAAAGTACTTCAAAAGCCCAGCACTATTAAAATATTAATCGCATTTAATTAATTATTTTCGTGTATCATGTGAGTGCTGCAAAGACCTGCATTTGTGAATTTTCCGAAATCAATTTTATAGAAACGACTTATCAGACACATGATCTATAAATAGAATTTATTATAAAATTTATTATAATTCATCAGGAATCTGATCACTGTTTCGGAAAAACGGAGCCGGCAAAAACCGAAATTGCAGGTTTTACGTAGCTTTGCAGCACTCATGTCAGATCTCTCTAAATGCATAGCCGAGGGGCGGCCAAAAAATCTTGCATTTAAAAAGGTATTGCATTTGCATTTAGATCTATAAGTGTTAAAATTTGGAATCTTAGGGTTAGGGTATAAGGTTGGAGTTGTTAATAGGATGAAATTATATTTTAATTCATTTATTTAAGTGGGCTATAAGCGCCTGAATGACCTAGATGATTTAACAAAAGTCTTAAAAAAAAATTAATGTCCATGTAAATTAAACACCAAGTTAAATGTAATGATATGTTATTAAACTAATATTTTAGGAATCATGTTATTAATCTTCACCTACGAACGAATTAGAATTGCTGCCCCCCGGTGAACGAATGGTTATTAATATTCTAAGATTACGTAAGGATAGCCCTGTAGATCTTATCCAAATAAAACTGTGAATTTATTTCCTAAATCTTTTACCGGTACAATTTAAACGATCTGCATTGAACTTTGTGGTTCCCGAATGGTATTCCGAAAAAATATTTTCCCAAAAAGACATGATCAGCAAGCACGCCAATTAAGAACATTTAATATTGAATCTTATTCGAACTTTATTTTTTAGGATTTGTACGGGGGATAAAACAGCTCATTCAGCCGACATCACACCAAGTTACAATTTACCAAGACTATATACCTGCAACTAGTCAAATGCCAACCTTAACCTATGTGGTCGGCTAAATGAAATTTAGGTGAAATGACTTTCGGTGAGATGAGCTAAATAAAACAAACATAAAAAATAAATACAGTATATCCTGTACCGATCAATTCTGACCAATATATTACGTAATTTTTTTTTATTTGAGAACAGAGTTCCCAACTATTTCTACGTAGCATCTAAAACAGCACTAACGATATTACGACAACATAACAAAATTCGACAGAATTTTGTATATAGAATAAAAAAAAGAACTAAGTTATTTGTCACATATGTGACAACGGCTTATATATCACTAAATATTTATTTGTCAGAAAATTCATCA